GAGCATAGATACCAGGCTATTCGTTATAGCATTATTGGTTTATTAAAATCTTTTGACATTGCAAACTACGTAATATACACACATTACCATACTATGTAGACATAAAAAAGGTTGAGAATGCTCTCTGCATCTCAATAATAAAAGATCTGCAGTATATTTTAGGAGAAAATGGCAAGATATGTAACAAGGTATATGTATACATTACTTTTAAACAGGGGGAAAATAAATTAAAATGCACCTGAGTGTGTGTGCGTGTGTGTGTTTTCTTGTCTATGCTTAAAGAAACAGTACGAAGACATAAATTAATAAAAGTGGTTATCTGTAGATGATGGGGGTAGGGTAAATAGGTATGGGAATGAGACCTTAGAAAACAACTCTTTATATTGTTGTGTATGTATTATCTATACACTTCAAAACATGTAACAACATTCTTTCTCTACTAACACTGTCATGAATATTTACAAACATTTACTAAAGAAAGAAATATACTATAGTAAATTATTGGAAAGAAATTCAGTTTTTTCAGATAGTTAACACTGCTGACACACTGACCAGTATGACTAGCTTAACATTCCAGGTCAGCGACTCAGGTATTCAATAGATCTCTATTTTCCTATGCTAAAAGGCTACTTACAGAGGCGGGTAAAGGCACTGCAGAAAAAACAGAAACTACAGAAAATATTAAAAAAATAATATTCACTGAGAAATCTATTACAAAGATAATTGCTAACATTTAAAAATATTTCTATAGTCTGTTTTTCTCTGTTCTTTTACATATATTATATATTGATATCTCATACTTGATACAGTGATATTATGGACACTGACATTAAATATACTGAAATATAGTATCTGTGATACGGATATTATAAATGATGCAGAAATTTTCACAGATTATAAACTGAAGAGGACATAAAAAAGGGCTTGATTCTTTCACCTACTCATTCAAAAACTGTTTATCAGAATACATAAGGTGATGCATATGTTAATTTGCTTGATTTAGTTATTCCACATACATTAAAGCATCGCGTTGCATGTTGTATATCACGAAAATATACAATTTTGATCTAATTAAAAAAAAATTATCAGGTACTTATATGTGCCAAGCACTGTATTATGCACTAAGATTATGGTACTAAACCACAGTGACATGACCCCTGCCTTGATACCACTTACAATTTACAACAGCAGTTCTCAAATTTTTGGCCCCAGGACCCCTTTACGAACTTTTACATTTTGAGAACCCCAAGCACTTTCATTTATAGGAATAACAGCTATCTATATTTATCATGTTATTCATTTAAACTAAGAGTTTTTAAAAATTTAATTCATTTAAAAAGAATAGGAAACTTATTATAGGTTAATATAAACAGTATCTCCTAAATTTTATAAATCTTTTAATATCTGGGTCAAAAGAGGAAAGTTTGATTTTCATATCTGCTACAGCATTCAGTCTACCATAATATGTTGTTTAGTTGAAGTATATAAAGAAAAATAAAAGCTTCACGCAAATACATTAGTTGGAAAAGGGAGACTATTTCAATAGTCTTCAGATAATTAGAAAAATACTTCTGCAATACTAAACTAAAATGCTACAAGTGGTAGTTTCTTAAGGTTAGTTGCTATGTGGAATCTAAAAACATACCAATAAGCTTTTTATATTCTGTGTCATTCATTAAAGTACTTTATGCATATATTACATTTCATCACATAGAAAGCTTACACACACATATACAAATATACATATTGTGTATACATAAACCAAATATCTGTCATGAAAACTGGTATGTGTATTCTTATACATGAAATACTGTTCATAAAACTGTTTTAGGATTGTTAAAAATTAAACATTTACCAAAAATCATCTGACAGACAACTACTGTGAAAATAGGTATAAGGAGAGAAAAATCTCATGATAGTTCAAGCGATTGAAAAGCTTTTATTAACATGGTATGTCAGCACTGTAAAAATAACTTCAAAAGCCTCATTCCCCGTAATATTGCTGCTAAACTGAAATTCCTATTATCATTCTCAGTAGAGTCAAATAAATATCCATTTCATGGGATCTCCTGGTCATCATTTCTAGAGTAAATGCTACTTTAGGCTGAAACACAGACTATTCTAAAAGATTCACATTTTCATTAAGATTTTTCCATATCAGAAATCCAACTATATTCAAAATATTAGATATGTTTTCCTGAAAATGTTCCCTACATCATTTTACTTGATTTGGAAAATAGTTTTCACAATGTTTTTAATTCTTTCAAATCAAGGCTAAAAAACAGCATTATTCATAGAATGCAGTGTTTTCAAAAATTTTAATGCAAGGAAATTCTATATTAGTCTTCAATTATTTCATATCAGATTTAAAATTGAATGACATAAGGAAACCCCTCATATGTATTCCCCTGAGAAATCACAATATGCAAAGGATAAAAAGGAGAACTGTCATTTGCAGCAAATAGATTATATTCCTAAAAAAATAAAATGAAAAACCATTAGAATGAATCAAAAACTTGATAAAAGAGGCTGCATATAAGATTCATATTTTTAATCAGGCATTTCTATATGCTAATAGCCAATTTAAAAAGTTCACAGGGGGAGGGTGGAGAGAAATCCCAGTGACTATCAAAATACTTAAAATGCCTAAAGTAAACCTAATAGGAATGTGGAAAGCATGTACCAGGAAGAGATTTTATTCCAGCATACACACACACACACACACACACACACATACACACAGACACACCCCACCAGAAACCAGAATAGAGGCTTATCTGGTTTCTAGATGGGAAGAAATGACGTTATCATAAAGTTGTCAATTCTTATTAAATTAATTCAGGAGTTCAATAGAATTGTTTATGGAATCTGGGAAGGTAATTCTGAAGCAGACAGAGAAAAGAAAAGTCAAGAAAAATTTTGAAAGCAAGAACAGAGATAAGGGAATTTACTGAATATCAAATCATATTATAAAACAATTATAATTGAAATACCAGTATCCTGGTTTAGGAAGAGAAAGACATAGCAATATAACAGAATTAAGAGTTCAGAAACAGACCTAATATGTATGAGAATTTACCTTAGGGTAAAAGTGCTCTTGAACCATGCAGAAGTATAGGTAATTGAAAAGTATTTGGACAACTGGCTATCCCATTGGGAAAAAATGGGTCTCTACCTCTTTATTAAGTTTAATAAAGTTTCAGATTAAAATGAAACATAAACCATAAAACTATTAGTTTTCTTTTTTTTTTTTTTTTGAGACGGAGTCTCACTCTGTCTCCCAGGCTGGAGTGCAGGTGGCGCAATCTCGGCTCACTGCAAGCTCCGCCTCCCGGGTTCACGCCATTCTCCTGCCTCAGACTCCCGAGTAGCTGGGACTACAGGTGCCCGCCACCGCACCTGGCTAATTTTTTTGTATTTTTAGTAGAGAACGGGGTTTCACCGCGTTAGCCAGGATGGTCTCGATCTCCTGACCTCCCAGAGTGATCCGCCCGTCTCGGCCTCCCAGAGTGCTGGGATTACAGAAGTGAGCCAAAACTATTAGTTTTCTAAGACTTTTTTCTACACTCTAGTTCAAGGAGAGAGAAGGAAATGTAAGGAAGTAATTTCAGACAACACACAACTTCCAACAAACACAATGAAAGAAATAGATTTTTACTACATATAAACGTAATATTTTCTATATGACACTATACGGTTAAAAAATAAGAGATAAATATAATACAAAAGATTACTATCCATATCAAAGAGTTCCTAAAAAAACTAAGAAGCAAAATTCAAAAAGTAACCAAAAATCTGAAAAATGACGCAAAAAGGTAATTTACATAATTATTAATACCTATAGCCAATCGATTATGAAAAGCAGACCAACTTCATCTAGGAATCTACAAAACATTTTAATGAGCTACTTTTTCAGTTATCTAACTGGCAAAAAAACAAACCCAAACCCAAACCAAAACCAAAACGAAAACAAAACACAACAAAAAAACCCAACAGCTCCAGCTAAGAATTTTATGACATTTCACACTGCTTGTCAATTTCATTTATTTGCCAAGAGATGAGACTACACTCTTTATGTGAGAACGAAAGGTCTGAAAAAATGGCACATCTTCACTATCAGGACACCTAACTGTGTAAGATGACAAAGCTAGCACCCACTGACAGTGGGTCCACGTGCCAGGGAATGCTCCTTCCTGCCCCATTCTTGGTCAGTAGACTGACTACACAGTCAGCTAAGGAAGAGAAGCTGAGAACATCTTGGCAGAAACATTCCTTTAGAATTTTTCCACCAAATTAAATCAATGAATGGATGGGCTAATGATTTGCCTTATTCAGGCTGAAGATACAGGACATATTTTAGGAGGAAAGTATTATAAGATATGCCCCCAGACGTTATAAAACCCCAGTACAGGCTTAGAGATCCAATATGTTGTGTTGGTGATAGAGAAAAAGACAAAACAAACATACAAACACAACCACTAAAGTTGAGAATCAAAGAATTCAAATATTTTGATAGTTTATAACTTTCTCAAATAACAAGTACAGCACATTAATCCAGGTATAGAATACAAGATAAAAGCACTGAATCAAACTTTCACATGAATTAATGGGAACTGATTCCAAAACAGAATAAAATACTGTACTCTCCAAGGAAAAGAAGCCCTTCATGCTACTCAACAGATATTCATTTTCTACTTTTTATTTTACAATAAACTTGTATGTCAATAAAACTGTGTTAACAGTAAGTCTTCAACAAGTATTCAGTGAAAAGCCTAATATAATGTTGATTTGTCTTATCTATACTGGCCATAACAACTTGTTGACAAAATTTGATCTCTTAAATGTTTCAGAGAAATGACTGAGCAAGTTAAAACTTAGGTACTGCTATGTAATCTTTAATGCATAATGACTGAACAACATTTTGAAAGAAATAATATAAATGGCTTAGTATTTTTTTAATTGTATCTCACATTATTTTAAGTGTACTCATGAACACATACCTGATACAGGTCTTTCTGAGGCAAAGGTGGGGATCGTTCTTCATACATAGGAGGTGGTTTATGTGTGGGTGGAAGGTCAATCCTGCATTGCAAAGGTTAAAATATGTGATTGTCACATTTAGGAAAAAAAAAAAAAAAGAGCAAAAGAAAATCAAGGTTCTCATAAGTTTTGAGAATATTTTCCTCATACTATATAATATTTACACTAGCCTACATGTTTAATTCAGTTCTTAGATTGCCATTAATCTATCAAAGATCAAAAATAAAAGTAAACACTGGTGTTAAAGGTTCCTGTATGTAGAACCAATCATGTTTAAAGAAGGAATTAAAATAGAAGAACTGAAATTAAGTAATTCAGTATACGACATGACTTTAGTGCATGTTTTAATATTTGACTATGTCTATCAACATTTTAGAGTGTCACTACACTTTCCTCCAAAGTGTCGTAATAAGAAATATTTACACTGTATTTTAGAAATACTTCCAAAACTGATTTTCAAAAGCTTTAGTCGCAATTACAATATTGTCAGATAATTTTTTCAATCTACAGACCATTATAAATCTTGCCATCTGAAATAAACAAAATAATCATTACATTTTTAGTGAATGCATTTATTTTTTCCAAAGTTGCATATCAGAAAATCAATATTTTCATATATTTTAAATATTGTTTACTTATAACAAATATAGGTTTTAATATACCTTGTAGCTCTCTGCATTTTACAAGATTTTATATAGTCTCATGCTTTTGAAGATCACAGATAACATTTTCAGTACTTGTGCTTAGAAAATCAAAAAGTTAACTATATTAAAGGATAAAGGGAATGAAAACTATAGATCCTGAAGTAATAAATTCTGTGGTCTAATAATGTCTCCATGAACATAAACTAGTATTTTAAATGATTAAAACTTAAGTGATAAATAAAATGGCTACATTAATTTGTTAGCCTACCAGTACATTATGTTTTTGAAATTATAGAAAAGCCAAGATAATCTGGAAATTAAGATTAAGTAACCACATGCTAATCACTCTTGAAAGATTGAAGGACTCCAGTCCCACAAGTATTATACTGAAAGAGCATTTTTTCATCCTTTGTTTAAATAATTGTTTCTTCTTATCTAACGAAAATCACAGCAAATTTCTAGCTCCAAGGTGCCATAGGCCATTTAGGTGAGAAAACTGAGGCTCATTGAGATAAAGTAACTTACTTGTTCATGGTCATAGTACTAATTTGATCATGACAGAGCTGTAACTGACACACAAGTGTCTTTGATCCAAAGACTACTGCTATAATTGTGCCAAATTAGAGAAGCAAAGACATATACAAAGCATTTATGAAGATAGAACTATCTTATGTCCTAACATAAAAACATTAATAAACCACATAAGAAATAATGCCATGTGTAAAGAGCTTCACAGTTTATAAAATATTATCTTACTCTACTATCATCTCAACCATGTGAGGCAAGTAGGAAGAGCATTATTCATATTTCTCAGATGAAGCAACAAAGCTGTTGATGGAATTAATAGAACTGAGACAGTGGTCATCTGATTCTACTGCACAGTGCAATTTCTGCCTTACAATTCTATCTCAATGACTAGGACAAAAATATTGCTTATTCTTTAAATAAGAAGATGTATATTTTACAATTCACTAAAAAAAAGTGTTTTTAAGAAAAAAGTTATAAAACTCAATCTATTTAATAACTTGATAGTTCAAAGTTATATCTATACATAAGACATACATATACAACCTGAAGAAGCCATTAAAACTTCAAAGATATTTTTATATGTCTTTTGGTTACCACTTCATGAAAGACCTACATTTCTATTCAGAAGGCAGGACCACATAAAGTATTACTATGTTACCCTCTAGAAAGATGTCTAATACACTCTAGGTGAAAAATGTAAAGCTGTTCTGTACCTCTAGCAGTCCCTTGACAATGTTCATTTACCAAGATATAGTTTGAGATATTCTGATGAAACCAGGGTCATCTAACAAAGGCCTAATATTATCCTTACTCCTATCCCTTAATTTCTTTATGAGGAGCTGTAAAGGTAAACATAGACACATACTGATATGCATAGTTGAACGAAGGCAGAAACAGTTACCTACACTTTGTCAAGATAGGATGGTCTCTTTTTTCGGGGAGTCAGCAGCACAGTCACAAAGATAGCAATGATGAAAAGGGCAAGAACAGCTCCAATTACCGCTCCAGCTACAGCTATGGAAGAGGTCTGCTTAAATGGAACATCTGTAAAGTAACAAAAATTAGGCTTTTCAAATAATCTTAAAATTAATTCTTGAAATTGCATACCTTTTCTACAATATGCAAACTATTTGACTGAAGTATGTTATTCAAGAGCCAGGTTACAGGACTCCAAATTTGATTCATTAGGTTTAGTGGCATTATGCTAAAACCCTTCCTTCTTTCTTTTATTACTTTAATACCTCAACTTAACTTTTTAAAAATTATGTAAGTATCCCCAAACATCATCAGGAGAATATATTCTCGATATGCAAAGAGTATCTGGAGAAGAAGATAGAGAAAAAGATGAAAGTAATTTTAAGTTTGCACTCTAAAAGGTAATTTTAAAAATCAGTATTCTCTAATATAAACGACCAGTAATACAGACATTTAGCATTTTTATTCTCTTAAAATAAACTATTAACAGAATTGAAAAATTTCAGGTGCGAAACAGAAAATATCCCGTATCAAAAAAAATTGACATTGGACATTGTAAAATTTGAAAAGTATTTTAAAATGTAAATATTAAAACAGGACTTGCACAAAATTTCCCTTAATTCATGAACATTTAATACAAAGTGCACTAAAAATAGCTTCTCTACTACAACGTTAAATAGAAATTCTTACTATCTCCTGGCCATAGACATATGTCATCTCTGAATACCAACTTCTCTTTCCCACATTGCACCACAATTTTGTAAGAAAGGATTTAAAAAACATATTTGGCTGTTAGCATTTCACACTTTTCCCAGAAAATTGAATAACAATTTTATGAACTCCCAAATAACGGAATGTACTAAAACTATTACAAGTACTACATATTTTCAAATGTTAAGTATTAAGGAATGTAACAAAACAATCTTTATGTGTATTACTTTGACAATTTCGGCTATATTAAATCCAGTAACTAAATTTTGTGGAGATTCGTGAATTACAAAGTTCCTTCACACATCTGATTTTGTCTTTCTTACCAACAAAAAAAAGATACTGAGATAACATTCTATAAATAAAGATATTGCAGTTCTGAAGTTAAATAATCTGCCAAGACCATTCAATCAATGAATAGTAGAGAGCAGAGAGAGAAATAAAGTTAGGTTGGAGGAGGGTAGAAGCCTCCACTGTTACCCCTTGTTGGAAGACAAGAATGTTTTTGTTAACATTAATATAGACTAATGAAGAAGTCTCAGCTTTACTTAAATTGACATAATCTTCACATATACTCTTAAATAACTGCAATAATTGTTGTGAACCAGACACAGCAAAGTTACAGAATTAGCACTGTTGGTTTTGAAATATGTTTCACCTACTTACCATGATAGTATTCCCATATAAATACATAAGTATTTTCTAATTCTGTTTTTATTAAAATGTGGGTAACATGGTACTTTAGATTACCAAAAAGAATGTTTTACTTTCTTTCAAATTATAAAAATGTCTTTAGAATACTAACAATCCTGAGTTTATTAATGGCTTATTTTGTTAGACTCATTTTGAGATAAAGATCTTACACCAGTAAGTGCAAGTCACTCATTTCAATAATGTTTCCAATGTATAGATTCTGAAACATTATAACTCAATCATTCATGGTGACCTTCATTTGCTAATACCAGCCTGGTTTATCTATTGTTGCTCAATTTTCTAATCTATCTCTATTTGGATATGTACTAGATAAAAAAAAAAAAAATTTGAAATCCAGTACATCCAAATATCATTCTGCACTTGTAAATGTGAGATTTGGGATGACCTACGGATAATCTCTATTATCATTTTCCCCACCATATAGATTACAGCTTTAACCACTGAACACAGCCATAAAGTAGATGGTCTTACTTAATCCTTAATAATAGGCCAGTTAAAACTATTAAGATTATGCCATTTGACCAAAGTCATACATCTCTAGTCAGTGGCACAAATAAAAAATACTAATTGTCAAGTACGTTATTTACTCCACATCAATTATTCTAAAGGTTTTCCTCTCTTGGAAATTTTTCTTTTGCTAAAGATGACCTATCATGTTTGCCCAACTGTACAGAATTTAAATTTTTGTTCTTATTTTGATGACAAATTTTTTCAAAATTGGTTTTGAAAAGTTCATGTTACTCTTTGAGGCCAAACTGAGATTCTCAATCTAGAGATTACAAATTTTTATCAAACTATACATCTCCTCTAAGAAAGCCTTTCATTTAACTTCAGCAATAATCTAAGGTTTGGTAGTGCTGTGTAATAAAACAACATAATGTAGACTTTTAATCTCTTAGTTTCCAACTTTAAATACCATTTTTTAATATATTCAAGTAACGCTTGTCTAAATATGTATTATTTCTTAAACATTTTAATTACAATCTATCCAATTTTGTCACACTAGTCTTATAAAATTTTTAGCTCTAGGATTCTGTGAGAGTTGACTGTATCACAACACTTCCTTCTATCTTAATTTGGGCATCTTCATTTCACCTGGTTCCATTCATTCTTTATCATATGTATCCTCTTTCTCCAATACCTCTTCGTAGTATTAGAATAGGCTGGTAGCTGCTGAAATGAGCAAATGGAGGACAGACTAGATATGAATCTATTTCCCAACTAGATAATCTACTTTATTTAGGTCAATTGATTATGCTAAATATGCATATGGGATATTTTTCATGTTTTCTGATTCTAATTGAGGGGAAAAAAAAGAGGTAAGTACTTAAGGTGTTAATAATTTAAGGGTATTAACAGTTGATGAAAACTAGTATGAAAGCAAAGGAGGTGCCTGAATCTTTTGCATTCAAGTGTTTTGATGAAAATTGATAATTTAGCCCTAACACTGTTTCCCACATATCCCAGACGAAATAAACAAGTATTTTGGCGAAAACTGAGAATTTAGCCTCAACACTGTTTCCCGCATATCTCAGCCCAAATAAACACATACATACTACATAAATTCTGTATTCCAACCAAACCACTACAGAGGAAAAAAATTAAGTGATCAAATGTATAAACACAGCATTTTTAAACACTAAGGTAGTTTACTGAGTGAATAACATGAAACATTACCATCAACCTAAGGAGATGTTCTACTAAGAGCAATATATGCTTACAAGAGGCAGAAAACAAGACAAAAATTATAGACTATTTACCATTAAAATACTGGTGCATGCATTGCTAAAAAGAAGACCAGTTTGCTGTTATCACAATAGTAACGGTAACTCGTATTCACTGGAAACTTACCTCCAAAAACAGAAAAAGAGCATTCCCCAACACAAGATTATACTGCCACATCTAATTAAAAGATAGCATGCACATGTCTTCTGGGGAAGATGTTTAAAAATCAACTAGCTACCAACCATAAAAAAATGAATATGGATATAAGAAATGATTTACTTTTTGGAAAACAGTACACAAATATTATAGATAATAAAGTGAAGTTTTAAAATCATTCATAAACAAATAATTTTTTAAAGTAAAGCTATTGAAACGTGTACACCTAATTCACATCTAAAAAAACTGAGACATGCCCTATTTTTCCTCTTCAGGCCCTTTGACAAAACTTTAGTGATGGCATCACAGGTTTATGTGTTGGTCTACAAAGTTATCTTCCCACCTTTGATTTGCTCCCATACTATATATTATTGTATTACCAATTTTCCCCCATAAATAATCCCATTCTCCAATTGTAACAGCCCCTTTAATGTTTATCTTCTCAATATGACTTATTAGCTTTTATATCCATCCAAACATTTATGTCTCACTACTTATTTATTTGGATCAGGTCAGTCTCCTCAGCCTCTCAACCAAAAAATTACCCCAAGCACCTACTATATGTCAGGCCTTGTGCTAAGTGCCAGGAATGCAGGGATAAATTTTACGTGGTAATAGAGAGCAAAATCCCCCAAAGTAGAGTCAAAGAATCCACAAAATATATATCATCCAGTAAGTATAGAAATATTACCACTTATCTTTAAAAAAGACATTTCATGAAAATAATTGTTTACTAGTATATAATACATGGATTGGCATTGGTTGCTCCCCTTGTCCAAGTATCAGGTGTTTTCCTGTCACACAGAGCACCCACTATATCTATGGGGAAAGTGAAATGGGATAGTTCCAGAACAAAATTAAGTAGACAGCACTTCACTTGGTTGTTCCTTCATGTCTTGTGACACGATTCATGAGAGCTCAGCAGAGTGAACTAGTGACTTATCTAGATTTAGCCAGTAATCAAACATGTAAAGGAAGAATTGTATGAGTGTCCCATGTGACAGGTAAAAAGCTAAGACAAATGGACTCTGTGGAGGTATCAGTGCTAATCTACATGTTATATATTAGAAAGTATTTATTCCTAGTATCATTCCTGCAAATAATTGGCAAAAAATCCCCACATAACACTAATAATACCGGTACTAATAACTGACAATACAGATATCTTACTCTTAATACACAAATTTTATCAGTTAGCTACAGTATGAAGTAAAATTTGCATGGCAATCTAACCAGATGTAACAAGTCAACAAAAAAAAAAAAAAAAAAAAAAAAAAAATCAAATGCATCAGCAGACCAGTTAAAATATATTTACATTTACTCATTAACAATAAACCTCACCCTCTTACACTAAGCCTATAATGTGCTGAAAGAGTAGCTAATGTGAAGGCGACGTTATTGATTAGCAAGACATTGAACAATCAAATATCTAGGACATAAAGATACACTCTAAAAATAGTGGTTGGGATGAAAACTGTTAACATCCAAACAATGTACTTCTTCCATTTGAATCTATCTGAGGTGGCACTTTAGTTATCACATCTAAAACCCAAGTATCAGCATACACTGACCATGATATGAGACCTTTCAATCACTGAATCAAAAGGTATAAAATTGAAAATAAAAAATGCATAAAGAACATTCAATTATGTAGTTTTACCAAAAATGTTTTAGTAATAAAAAAGTTAACTTTTAAAATAAAATGCAATCATACTGTTTCCCCCAAATCTTAGTTTTAGTGAGAAAAAATTAACATGTTAAATATA